AGATTTTCCGGTATGCATAAGTGCTAAATAAAATGAATAAACATTTTTGTTTTGATTGAAATTTAATTTAATTTTTCATTTTCTTATTTTTCGAACCAAGAAAATTTTTCTCAACACATTTGCTCACTAAAACGTTGAAAAAATATTGCATATAAAAATGTTTTCTGATCTTTCATCAATGGCAAACAAAGTTTTCTTGCTTTTTGTGCGATATACCTTTTCCTGCTTGTTGTGCAAGCCGCTGCCACTTCTATAGAAACATTAAAGCCTATAAGCATTTTGCTCACCTGTGTGACGTTCTTCCTATAATTTTTTAATCCCTAATCTAGCAAAGGGTTATGACAAAAGATGACAATAACAAATCTGCTGAATCTCATAAATCCCTTAAACAGAATCTGAACTTCAACAAATTTGAATCGATCTATTGAATGAATATTATTTAACCCCAACTCGGCAGTATATCATCTCTCCTGGCCACGTGGTTCTTGTGTTGAAATATTTTTGAAGACAGTCAATATCTTTTAGTCTTTTTCTGATTATCTCTACGTAAAAGAGTTTTTTCCCAACATTTCAAAGAAATTAAATTTATCTTGTGGTTCTGAAGAAGTAAAAAAGAATGAACAATTGACGGACAGGCAGCAAACTCTCATTCGCGCTTCTCAAGTGTGTTAAAAGCAAATAATTTAATTTTGGTTGTAACACTTCATTTGATTGGATAAAAAATTAGTTGATATCGTATAGTTTATATCGTATAATCTGTTTTGCCTATGTCACAATGACTTACGTCAAAAACACATCAATCCGTTTGACGTTACGTTCAAAATATTATTTTCTACATTTAATGATGGAAAATTGAATTATAAGGAATGAATTTAATAGCTACCCAAGTTATACTTGTATATCCCGGGTTGGAATAGTTTACGCCTTTTTATAAACCGCTTCGCTGTTTATAAAGCGTATACTGCCCCAACCCCTGAGGTTGTACAATATAACTTCGGTAGCTACTAAATTCACTTCTTAAATATTTTTATGGAAGGATTATATTTTCTGATGAAAGTCTTCATTTTTAACCTGGATTATATTTTCTGATGAAAGTTTTCATTTGTAATCATTTTCAAGTAAAACACATGAGTCCTATTGGCCATAACGCTCACCCGAGTATCACCGACCCTGCTGAATTTCTTCATACTATGCTTTGAAAGATTTAAAACTCATATTTACAAATGCTCGGAAGTGCAGAAGAAATTCTGGTCGATACAATCAAATTACTTACCATCTTTGAAAGTAAATTTGCCGTGATTTTTGTCAGTTAATCCAATTACCGAATTTGAAAAAAAAAACTTTAGAATAGTAAAATACTTTTAGGGTGTGCCTTTAAATCCTTCAACAGTACATAACATCAATTAAATGATTACGGTACGATGTTTTGACTCATAGTGCCAAAATATTTCTAGAAATGTACCTCTGAAGTAAAGACATATATTTATAATGAATCTTAAAATAATATTTTAAAATGTAACTAGCAATTAAACGGTTACATAGAAGTCTAATTTTAACTGTCCGTGACGATTTATTTGTCTTTGTTCCTTCATGCGAAAGTCCAGAGAGCTCTAGGGTCTAGGAGATAATTGATTATGCAAAATGAAGCAATGCAATGTGCCCTAATTAAGAGAATTAAGTGCTCTGCCTTAAAATTGAAAGGCGGTAGATTTGTTTGATTAAAGTATCATTTTGAGAGAATTAATGTTTTGATTTTCTGATTGTCACAGATCTTACTGTGTCGCAAAATTTTTACTGTGTCGCACGCATAAAATTTGAATCGTTGCTGTGTTGGGGAAAATTTTACTGTGTCGAAGCCGACACAGCAAAACAGCTCATGGAGAACCCTGAGCTTCTCTAATCAAAGTCTGTTATTTCTCCCTCTGTCCGTCATTTTTTTTTTTTCAATTTTATCAACTTCTCCAGATTTAAAGGATAAAGTTCCTTGACATTCTTTGTACACGCAGGGAAAATCAACAAAAGACTTACAGAATTTGACTTTCTTCAAACTGTTTCATTGCAAGAACCACTTGTCCAGATTAAATGTAAACTTCCTGGCATAGTGAAAATTTTAGTTTGATCAAAACAAGCCCCGATGGGCAGGATGGGTCTACTTTAGTAGATTAAAGTCTTTCATGGGAATACCTGTGTACACATCTTCAAGATACTTTTTACTCAAGAGAATCTGAACCCTCATCATTCAATATCATTCACAGGTTGTGTAGATTCAAATTTCTTCAATTCATGGCCCAAAGGTCAAAGCGTGGCCACAACAGTTTCCCCAAGTTCTTTTCATGGGAATATATATTCTAAAAAAATGAAGTCTTTTTTTCAGGAACAACAAGAAAAAAGTACAGGGTAATTATTACTGAGAGCTACATGCTGGTATTCTCAGATAGTATATCTTTCATTGTTATCAATGCCACACTAAATAATATTCATGTAAATATAATAAAAAGTCCTCAGATATATTATTTAAATATATTTACCTTTTAAATAGGAGCGATGAAATATGGAGATAACAAACAGTCATCAAGCTAAAAGTCCATTAAAACAATACAAATCGGGAGTGCAGCAAACGCGGACCTCTAAAATCATAAGAGGTGGGATTATATGCTATGAAGGAGTAAGCATCCCCTGTCGACAGTTCACACCCGCCGTGTGCTCCTTGTCATGATCGTCAAACATACAAAACCCGTAGACAATTCAGTGCGTAAATAATTGCCAAACAATTACATGTAGTATGCAGAGTATTAGACAGCATTCGACTTAATGATAAATTGTATATTCTGACAAGGCAATTGTACCTACCATAAAACTTGTGAAATGTTGATTTCAAAGAGACTGCTACATAAAGTTTACGATAGAAAAGTTGAAGTCATAACGTTTATCATAAAGTTTTGTTGTTAGGTTTATCAAAAAGTTTTGTTGTTAGGTTCCTTTAGCGTCTTTTTCTTGTAAAATATCCATATTTGAAACAGATGTCTCAGACTCTGTGGTATCTTTTTGATTTCATGTTCACTGGGATATACATGCATCGAGTCAACATATGAATGGAACTAACTGTTGTTAATTGAAAGTACATAGTCGATATATCTAAATGTCGAGTTGCAGACCACAGCAAGTGCTTTTGTCTCCGCATGTTGAGGGTTTAATTTTGATAAATTCTGCTTCATATGAATACAAAAATAGGTCTGCTAGTACAGGGGTGCAACTGATACTTATGGGAATTAGGACAGACTGTTGAAAGACTTGATCTCATAGAATAATTTCATAGAAATTGTCTATTATAAACTCAATCATCTTATTGGTATCAACCTCCTAGTTTTTGTGTGTACATTCAAAATGTTTTAACAAAATAATTTTGTAGATGACCAATGACAAGATTTGAAAATTTACGAATTCCATTTTATTGAAAAAGCAGATGTCTATGATGACAAAAAACCTAGATTATAATTTTTCATGGGGAATGGTTGTATAAAGTGTTGAAAAGTCGTACGTTTTGAAGCTCGATAGAACATTTATTTTTATGAGTTTCCTCCGTAGAAAGGGAACTGTGGGTGAGTTTGATTACCACATGCAGAATAAAATCCCAGCTCCTCTAAAATACTATTAAAAAATAAGCCTTACAAACAAAGACAATGTTGGTACCCGCTTTGTCAGCTGGGCCAATACATATTGATAGTGTAATCTATCTTACTCTTTCTTCTGAATAATTGAAGACAGAAGGATAGATGGTTTTCATGTTGCACCTCAATCGCTTAATGCGAGAATTCTTTTAATCCAGTCTGACAAAATATGTAGTTTTCTTTTTCATGTTTGGCCTATTGCTTGGTGTAATCTTCCACAGAATTCACCATATATATGAAATTATGACGCCTATTGAGAGATCAATGAAATAGGATAGAAACACCAAAGAGATTAGAAATTATTACTTCTTCATCCTATAACAGTTTTGTTAAATAAGTGATCATACGTATATCTTCAAAGTATGCGTACAACATAATTTTTCTGTTAACAAAAACATGGAGCAAGGAACGACTGCGCACCTTAGAAATACACTTTTGTGGCAGACCATTCGTATCTTTTTGAGAAATCTTTGAAGTTCAGTTATTCAAATGTTATATCACAAACAGAATTTAAATGCCACAATCTGTTTTGAGTTAATTCACAGTTATTTAAACGTTAGTACATTCATTGGAAAATGATGAAACATCTGTAAATTTCTGTCTTTTTTTTCCTCCACAACATTTCCATTTGACGAATTTTCTTAATGGAAGAAAGAGTTGACAAGTATGATAAAATGAATGTTGAATTTGAATCAAATTTTGCGATGCAACAGCTATTTGCTGGGTGCAACCTCCGAAACGTCGTCTTATGCATCGATCGGTATATCTTCCTGGCAGTTTAAAATATATTTTAAAAGAATGAGGTCAATGAAGTTTTCCTACAAAACTGTTACTCAAGAGTTCATCATTGTTCAAGTATTAACAGTGCTATTGGACTTTCTTTTAATCGTTAGTGTTTCCACCACCAATCGTCATATTTCCACTTGCAAAATGAATATATTGGAGTTGATCCGAAATACATGTACCAAAACACAAACAACACAAACAGAAACAACAACAGGAATATCTGCGAGAGCACAATAATCTTCCATATATTCCTTTCATTTCGTCCTCGTAGATATTCATCAGTGAACCGATTAATGATGGGCATGAAGGGTATGATCCAATTCAGGGCTGCCATTATTGCAACGAGTTATGATTGTATGAATGTTTAAGAACATAAGTAGTGATAAACGTCATTAGAGAAAATCCAAAGAGCAACAAGTTTCGGTTTCGATTTAAGAATAAAGCGGTAGAGAGGATCCGCTAGGCCGCCCTACGTCATCCCTCTGGAATATTCAATATTTTACTTTCGATTTGAATTCCACTTGCACGTAAACAAGAAAAGCATGAATGATAGAAAGTAAGCACGGATGGGAAAATTTATGGACGTCTGTCACACAAGATGGGTATTGTGGATATGTGAACTCCTTAGCAGAAGCAGAACAAGTTCGGAAGGAATTTGAGGTGGAGAAAAGTCTAACTTTCGTGTCAGGGAAACGGGAAGCTGATTTCGGTAATCACGGCCATGGTTAGTACTAGTAACATTATCATGATTATGTTCAGTCTCATTTTATTTTGACTTGAGATTGATATCTGTCACCAATGAAAAATTAGTAAAGCTCTGTAAGTTTAGATTTTACCATTAAAAGCATATATATACACAGATTTGATTTCTCTGGACAAAGTTTCATATACATTATATCAATTTACCCCCCCCCCCCCCCCAACACACACAATCACACAAATACACACTAAATTTATTGAAAAATTTTTGTCCAACAACTTATTAATAATTATTATATTATTGATTAAACACATAATGAATGACTCAAGTCAAAATTATTATTTTTATTTTGAGATTTTTTTTATTTTAGTGATTGGAGTCATCAATCAGTAATTTGTTTAAGTCATGCATGTATATCCAATCTAGTTGATTTATGGAAACCAATTTATGTCTTATTTTTAGCTTAAGTTACAATATTTTCATAAACATGTGTCACAAAAAACACTTCATTGTAAATGATGGTAACATTTTTTTTCAAATGTCTTGATTCTGCAGAAAATAATATATATATTTATTGACTGCGTGGGTTCGAGGGCAACATGCATTTTGTCAGACCCAAGAACCAAACAAAACTTTTTAAAATTTATTTCAGATTATAATTTTACCTTCTAAAGAAATGTATACATACATTCATTTATAAATTATGTATAATTTTTGTCAAAAATATTTCAAAATTTATCTAATTAAATTCTATTTAATGGAAGTTATTGTGTTTTTAATTTCAGATCTACCAGATAAATTCCGATTGAGATTCACTGATCTTGGCGAGCATGAAACAATTAAATACACTGGCATGCCATTTATCATTGTTTCCAAATATGAACGCCATTGTTTGTTTGGAAAAGATAAGAACAAGAAAAAGAAAGAAAGATATCAGAATTCAAGAAGCCAAGCCTTATCAGTAAGTAAATTAGAGTAAGAATCATTAAAACAAAAATAAAAAAAAACTCTTTCATACTATGGAAAACAATATAGTACAAAAGATTTAAAAATTAGGTACATTTAAAGCTTAGATTTAGTTTACTGGATCTTAGGCATTCTACTGGATCCTCCCAGGTTAGGAGTACTATTCCTTGGTTCCTGATTTAGTGTAAGTGCAATACATAATCCCCAGTGTGAGTACTAACACAGGGGTGGTCTACTAGATCCTAGGTCACTCTACTGGATCCTCCCGGGTTAGGAGTACTATTCTTTGGTTCCTGACTTAGTGTAAGTATAATACATAGTCCCCAGTGTGAGTACTAACACAGGGTCAGTCTACTGGATCCTAGGTCACTCTACTGCGTCTTACATCTGTTAAGTTACTCATTTAAGAATAATGCTTAAATTATATTTGTTTTTTTTAGGGTGATCATCCTTCATCTTTGAAGAGGAAGCAGTACATCCAATCAACAAAAAATAAAGGCTGTCCAGCAAAAATAATAATGAAAGAAGTTCTTGTATTTCCAGAGTATAAGGTATACATCTGTATCAAAACAAATTTAAAATACTTTTTAATATATAAATACACATAAAATACCTAATTTGTGGGATACTTTGACTTTTTTTCCTTTCTTTTAAATATATATACACAAGTACTAAGCATTTTCAAATAGATAACAAAATTGCTCTTCTCTTTCTTTATTTCTTGAAGTACAGCTCCATAATGTATTTAAGGAATCAAATTAATAGCTACCCAATTTATACAGTATAAAGTGGGTTGGAGCAGTTTACGCTTCATAAACAGCAAAGTGGTTTATAAAAAAGCGTAAACTGTTCCAACCCACTTTATACCGTATAAATTGGGTAGCTATTAATTTCGTTCCTTATAATTTAATTTTCATTCATTTAGTGTAAGAAAAAAATGATTGCCCTTAAAAATTACTTCAAATCGTACAAAATTTAAATGTAACGTCAGGTGGATCGATATGTTTTTGACGGCAAGTCATTGTGACCTAGGCAACCCATTTTATACAATATAAAGTAAACTTTTTATCCAATCAAATACCGCGTTCTAACCAGAATTAAATTATTTAAAATAAGAGCAAAAGATAGGTACATGTAGAATGAAAGATATACGAAAAATATATATATTTATTTTTTAATTTGCAGGCAAAACAAGACACAGAAAAGGCAAGAAGAATTGCAAGCGAAAAGCTAAGAGAAGATCTGATTACTGGGAGCAACATAAAGAAAGAACACAGAATATATATAAGTTTACCAAAGGATGGAGAGCACCAAGAAATGCATCTTATTGGTCAGGTTCGTATAATTAATTTTTTTTTTTGTGTTTGTTATATTTTTTGTGCACTTTGTGATATAAATCGAGTATTATTATTCGTAGATTACAGGTTTTAGGAATCCATTGAACAAAGATGTCAGAGATAAGCTATATGAGATGGTGGGACATGGGGTTCCAAGCGTATCAGAAATGCGGCGTCATTTAAAAGTGTATGTCGATACCCAGATATTCCCCAAAGCCAATAAACCTGCACTGACAGATGCGGCATATTACCCATCAGATGTCACAATAAGGAAGCACATATACTTAGCACAACTTCGTCTGAGGTATAAGTATGGTACTTTGTGGAAAACATATATTAAGATAGGAAAAATTATTTTGCTATTAGCTCTTGTAAAAAAAGTTAGTTGCAATAGTCCTTCAAAGATGATGTTATTTTTTTCACAGATATTCCAAAATAGACCAGGAAAACTTGATGAAATTGGTTAGTCAATGGCAAGAAAGTTATCCCAAAGATAATTTTGATTTTTTGCCGGCGACGTCCAATCAAGATCAACAACTGGATGAAAACAACATCAACAATGTTCAGTGTGTTGAACAAGATGATGAGGATGAAGTCTTCTCACACCTGATCACAACAACCAAATTCTTCTTCTGTCACCAATCAGAATTCCAAAGACATTTGCTTTACAGGTATTGTACTTTATGTTTTAGATTGTCATGCATAATAATAGGTGAGTTCTTTTGTAATGTTAATAGGTCTTACATTACTGTCTTCATAGGTTATGTGATGCCTTTTTTCGTGAATTTTGATATTAAACAAATTTGTTTACAGTTTCATTTCGTTTTAAAGTAAGTTGTATCATTCTAAATTTTTATCATACCAAATTCTTGTACATCATATACAATAAGAAAATTTATTACATTTATATTTCAGATATGGTAATGCTTTCTGCTTATTGGATGCCACCTTTAGAACCACGAAATATGTGTTGCCTCTTTTCTTTCTGGCCGTGAAGACAAATGTGGGTTTTAGTGTTGTGGCGGAGTTTATTGTCCAGAATGAGACCAAGGACTTAATTGTACAGGGTCTCCAAACTATCAAAAACTGGGTAAATGCAGCTCCAGAAAAACCAGAAGGCTGGGAATGGAAAAGCATATGGGTGTATCCAAGATGACAAGTATCATTAAAGATCATGTTCAGTCTTCAGAGAAAAAGGTTAAAAAATCTTAAATAGAAATAATTTCTATTCAACAAAACCTTGCATCAAATGAGCAATTTGTATGATTGAGTTTTATAAGTGAAAGATAAGTGTATCATCATTTCAAAACACATTAATTTTAATGAATTTAAAAAAAAAAGTTAAATGATGTATGCCTCATCATTCTTCAGTGTCGTGTTCTGGAATATGACTCCATCATTGGTGTGTATCATCAAAGAGGACATTGGGATCTAGTGGTAAGTTTTCACACTCATTCAAAAGAAATGTCAAATCAAACTTTACTGATATTGCAATATTGCCTTCACTTTAGGAAGTTTCCATGATATTAGTTAATTAAGATCTACACATTATATTTCATTCAATTTCATTTCACTAATGTAGATAATTGAACCAAAATCGTTCACGGTCTACTTCTACAATCCACTTGGAGAGACGACATTTCAATGCAGACAAGTGCTCAATGGCTGGAGGTTTGCTCGAACTCATGTTTTCATAAAATCTGTATTTCTTGTTATCATTTTTCTTGGATTAAAAGGAGGATTATTTTCTTGTATACATACTTTTTTCAAAATTGTTCAAATATACAGCTAGAAATAATCTTTTTTTCAGGTTATGTGAAAAGTTTTCCATGATACTCCAGTTTTCCTAATTCTGCACAATGAGAGTAGGCATTTTTCACAGATTATCATCTAATTTCAGAAATTACATGGGAAGAAACCTTTTTTTAAGTGGTCAGTGGGAATTGAAAGTGAAGGAACATTCAAAGCAGAAAGATGGCTCTAGTTGTGGTGTGTTCTGTTTAATGGTAAGTAAAAGCACTGAAAGATCTTCCCTTGTTTACATAATAATTTACAAGACATTGCACTGCATTAAAGTTGAAACCATTCATATTGTATAAACTGTTAATATCTTATCTAGTATGCAGAGAGACACCTTAGTGGACAGTCTCTCTTGAATATAACCAAAGAAGATGTTCAGAGAAAAAGGACAGAAATAGGAACTACTCTTCTGCTGTTTGAAGGTAGGTTTTAAAATTAACTCATTCCCAAAAGATGATTGAAAGTTTAGTGGCTATTCCTCTTTACCCTTTATATATTAAATGAACATGAATGCTGTGATAGTATAAGATTATTTTTTTTTCTGTTAATACAGAACACATACTTGATTGTTGTCCTTGTTGTGGATTGAAGGTAGATGATCGTAAAGGGGATTTGGTAAGTCTGGTATATTGTTGCTTATTGAATATCAGCTACATATACTTAACCTTTTCAAAATGAAATAATAAAATTACAGGAATATATTTTCATTTTATTTTTTCTGCTTTAAGGTTCCTTGTGGTATTTGTATGAGGAAATTCCACAAAAAAAATGTTGTGTGGGAGAAAAAATTTCTAACATGTCATCAGTGCAGCACTTTACATGCAAAGATTGCTTCATGAGGTCAAATGTGTAAAAATGATGAAAAAGTGAAGAAAAAAAACCCTATTCATTGCTCTATTTCATTCACCTTTTAAGAAAAAGGCACATCAATAACTTTACTCATACTAAAAGAACATAGACAAGCTTAAAGATACATGGAATCCAGTAGACTAAATCAGGAACCAAGGAATAGTACTCCTAACCTGGAAGGATCCAATAGAGTGATCTAGGATCCAGTAGACCGCCCCTGTGTTAGTACTCACACTGGGGACTATGTATTATACTTACACTAATTCAGGAACCAAGGAATAGTACTCCTAACCTGGAAGGATCCAGTAGAGTGAATTAGGATCCAGTAGACCGCCCTTGTGTTAGTTCTCAAACTGGGGTCTATGTATTATACTTAAACTAAGTCTGGAACCAAAGAATAGTACTCCTAACCTGCGAGGATCCAGTAGAGTGATCTAGGAAGAAGTAGGTTGCCCCTGTGTTAGTACTCACATTGGAGACTATGTATTGTACTTCCACTAAGTCAGGAACCAAGGAATAGTACTCCTAACCTGGGAGGATCCAGTAGAGTGATTTAGGATGCAGTAGACCGCCACTGTGTTAGTACACACATTGGAGACTATGTATTGTACTTACACTAAGTCAGGAACCAAGGAATAGTACTCCTAACCTGGAAGGCTCCAGTAGAGTGAATAAGGATCCAGTAGACCGCCCCTGTGTTAGTACTCAAACTGGGGTCTATGTATTATACTTAAACTAAGTCCGAAAGCAAGGAATAGTACTCCTAACCTGGAAGGATCCAGTAGAGTGAATAAGAATCCAGTAGACCGCCCTTGTGTTAGTTCTCAAACTGGGGTCTATGTATTATACTTAAACTAAGTCTGGAACCAAAGAATAGTACTCCTAACCTGCGAGGATCCAGTAGAGTGATCTAGGAAGAAGTAGGTTGCCCCTGTGTTAGTACTCACATTGGAGACTATGTATTGTACTTCCACTAAGTCAGGAACCAAGGAATAGTACTCCTAACCTGGGAGGATCCAGTAGAGTGATTTAGGATGCAGTAGACCGCCACTGTGTTAGTACACACATTGGAGACTATGTATTGTACTTACACTAAGTCAGGAACCAAGGAATAGTACTCCTAACCTGGAAGGCTCCAGTAGAGTGAATAAGGATCCAGTAGACCGCCCCTGTGTTAGTACTCAAACTGGGGTCTATGTATTATACTTAAACTAAGTCCGAAAGCAAGGAATAGTACTCCTAACCTGGAAGGATCCAGTAGAGTGAATAAGAATCCAGTAGACCGCCCCTGTGTTAGTACTCAAACTGGGGTCTATGTATTATACTAAAACTAAATCTGGAACCAAGGAATAGTACTCCTAACCGGGGAGGATCCAGTAGAGTGATCTAGGATGCAGTAAACCGCCCCTATATTAGTACTCACATTGGAGACTATGTTTAGTACTTACACTAAGTCTGGAACCAAGGAATAGTACTCCTAACCTGCGAGGATCCAGTAGAGTGACCTAGGATCCAGTAGACTGCCCTTGTATTAGTACTCACACTGGAGACTATGTATTGTACTTACACTAAGTCAGGAACCAAGGAATAGTACTCCTAACCTGGAAGGATCCAGTAGAGTGACCTAGGATCCAGTAGGCCGCCCCTGTGTTAGTACACACATTGGAGACTATGTATTGTACTTCCACTAAGTCAGGAACCAAGGAATAGTACTCCTAACCGGGGAGGATCCAGTAGAGTGATTTAGGATGCAGTAGACCGCCCCTGTGTTAGTACTCTCATTGGAGACTATGTATTGTACTTACACAAAGTCTGGAACCAAGGAATAGTACTTCTAACCTGGGAGGATCCAGTAGAGTGATTTAGGATGCAGTAGACCGCCCCTTTGTTAGTACTCACACTGGATACTATGTATTGTACTTACACAAAGTCAGGAACCAAGGAATAGTACTCCTAACCTGCGAGGATCCAGTAGAGTGACCTAGGATCCAGTAGACCGCCCTTGTGTTAGTACTCACACTGGGGACTATGTATTGTACTTACACTAAGTCAGGAAACAAAGAATAGTACTCCTAACCTGGGAGGATCCAGTAGAGTGACCTAGGATCCAGTAGACCACCCTGTGTTGGTACTCACACTGGAGACTACATCATTAGATAATGTAGTAGTATTAAGTAATTGATATCTATCATTCCGAAACAGTCTCTACTCTCTAATAAATTTCAAATTATCTTTAAGATTTAATGTATATCACATGTTTACATATTATAATTGTAACATGTATCATTCATTGTCAAGATTACTATTTTGTTTTGTTATAAATATGTCTATATGTATTTCAATCTTGCAAAATATTTATTAGAAAAAAATGTTCTTGATTGTCCTTGTTGTTCGGAGAACTAATGTTGTAATGAAGATTACAAAATTGTGATTTATATAATGCTTTTTTACAGGAAGGAGACCTCTGTAATTTTCATTATTTACGTTCTCAACTCTAAATGGTCAAAATGACACAATGATTCTTTTTTAAAGATTAAGTTCTTTGCTGTCAGAAATTTTCAAAATGAATTTGCATGTAGATTAATGCAGCAATTTATATTTTTATTAATATGATTATTGATATATTTCATTTTGTTAATGTTAATTGTTTTGTCAAATTGTAATCATGGCTTAACTCCAATGTTTAGTGGTGTTGTCGATATATAAATGAATTAAATTGTAGTAAACATTCTTTTAACATGCATGATCTTCATGTTAATTAATGTCATTTCAATTGAATATATTAAAAAGAAACAGAATAGTCAACAAAAATAAAATCAATTAATGATTGGTCAATTAATTCTGACCATTTGCTGCAAACAATTGACACCCCCCCCCCTTCCCCCTGAAAAAAAAAAGAAAAAATATAGGGAAGAGTTTGCACTTAACACAAATTATTTGTTGGCATATATCTACAAATCTCTAGCGTTTAGGTTTGAATAGGGTTGGAGATTTTACATAATTCAATAAAAACAAAGTCTTTCATGGAATTAAAATGAATGCATTTTTATTCCGGAAAATACGTGTCTGCAGTGGGTTTTGTTGTTGATACTATATTGTTCATGAATATTAATTAGGATGACGTAGGGCGGCCTAGGGGATCCTTTGGTTTTAGACTTGAAACTGAAACAGCACTAACGAATAAAGTTACTGTATAGAAAAGGAAAAGATTGCCACTATACGCTGAACCAAACTTCTAAGTGTTCACCTAACATTTTTTAAGTTATAAAGAACAAATGCATACAATAAATAATTTCTTTAATTCATGGTTGATGATACATATTTCAGTTCGATGTTGCGTAAATTTCATGTAAGTATCTCGTCAGACTTTAAAGCAAAGTGTCAAGGACATGATGTACCCTCAAAATGAAAATTCACATAAAATAATCTCTATGGAGTAAGACCACCACTCGTTCAAATTATTGCAAGACATCCTTTTCTCATGGAAACCATGTACTCCTGAATAGGAGGTTGATCTATCTGCTGCCACACCTACTGCATGGATCTTTCTAAACCGTTTAAATTGTGTGGAGGGAGGGAAGGGGGGGGGGGCTTTTACATTCCATTTGAAAGTCCCAAATGTGTTCAATGGGATTTATATCCGGGTATTTGGCAGGCCAGTGCATCACACAGATGCCTTTTTTGTCAACACTTAGACCCTCCTTAGGCGTTACGCAAGTAAGTGTACCTCTTTAAGGATGATTCAGACTGTTTGAGATGATATTGGACTGCCATGAACACCAATTTGTTGCCAATTTCTTACAATTGAAGTTGCTGCTTTAAATGTTTCTAAAGTGTTTCAGGACCATTTAACAATCTTTTAACCTGGTTGTGACGCGAAACCCTGGCCTCAGACGAAGATCCAGATCACTTCCGGTTTGGTTAAATTTTGTCCGAAGCTTTCAAACTGGGATAAGTTGGCGATAAAAATGAGACATAACCTATAGAAAAATGTGTTTAAATGGATTTTTATACTGGTTGTTAATTTTTAAAAGTAATATCAAGGACAAATAAACAGTAAAATAAAAGTTAGTAAAACGTGTCATAAGGATGATCCAGATATCAACATTCCAACGGCTCTCCCTCCTTACTCAATGGTCATTTTGCCCATGTTTGTGTTTTTTAGTTAAACCAGTTGTTAAAAATTGATAATGATCACAAAAAGAAGCTGATTACACAAAGCGCGTGTCGCAAAGTACAGATTTATTGTTTTTAAGCTTCGTCACGGGACATTGGATTTCATCGGTGATGTAATTTTCTTTCGACAATTGTTGAGAAAACTCATTGGTTATAATAATTTGAAAATATCATAATATTCCATCATGTAGTTTTTAGATAAATGCATTTATTAGAGTGAACACTTAGAAGTTTTGTTAAGTGTATATACGTAAAGAAATGTAAAGGTTTCTCCACTCTCACATTTTATAGAGTCAAAGTAGAAAACTGCATTAATTTCCATTAAATATCGTTTTATGGTAATCAATAATAATAATAATGTAATAAGCATTGAGCCCTCTACCAAAATTGTGACCCCCCAGGGTCAGGGGTTTTGGCGCTAGGGCGGGGCTCTAATGATTATATAGTGAAATGCATTAATTCCCTAAAAAAAATATTTACCTTTGCTCCTAGGTATTTAGCCGATGAACTAAGTACATAGTTAGGATAAGCAAGAGGGCATCTTTCTAAAATTGTGAATTTCATAGCCCCTGGATCAGAGGTTTCTGGTGTTATGGCGGTGTTCATTAAGGACATATGCAACGTAGTTTGAACTTTATTGTCTTTTTCCCTGGAGTTGAAGAGTTCTAATACTTAAAGAAACTGTGTGCTGCATTTTAATGTCTATATATGCTGTTGTACACTTCTTGTAAAACACGTTTGGATAAACAAAACATCTAGAATATATGTTTAGTAATTTTTGTATATTTTTCTTTGAATTACACAAGCATTTTCATGAATTGATATCTTTTCAAAACCCCTGGAAAAGCATGCTGATTTTTTGTCTACAAACATCTGATGGCACTATAATCTTAAATTAAGAATATCTTGAAAAATTATCAGTATAGGTAAGGTACGTTGCGTATGTCCTTAATTGACGGAGGAAATTCTGGTAGGTCACACAACCACGCTTACATCTAGATATATTTGCCATTATTGGTCTGAAGATGAAGTATCTTAAAACTTGTGAATTGAAAAACACTTAAGCAGTTTAGAGTCATAGAAATATATTTTGATGGATCTATTGTTAAGTAGGGCTCCGCGTAAAAATCATGCAGGTAGCAC